AGCCCAAGTTCTGAACAATAAGATCTACGCAGGCAATTCACACCGCTGTTGGTCCTAAAGGTTCGCGATACTTACGGCTGACGGAGCCATTCGGGCCCGAAAGATTACAAACATCCGAAGCCCCTCCTTAGCCATGCTGGGACCTGCAGCGCCGAGCTCTTGCAGTCTTTCCAGGAGCCCTCAACCCTAAACCATGAAACTCCCAACGGCGGTTGTTTCCAGGGTGCACTTTCACGCACCACATTCGGAAGCCCATCCAGATGTCTGACGTCACTGGGTCGATCTGGTCAAAGGTCAGCTCCTGTAAAAGGGGCAGATTTACAATACATGTTGGTCTAGCGTACTAGCATAGTAGATTATATATTGCAGTATCTTGGCACTGCTTTACCTAGGAAAACTTGCCCTGAAATCAAAAGTGGGGCCATGATTCAATCACTCTGTCTCGTGCCCTAGTGTCGGGGTAGCCCTAACCCTGCAGGTACCTACTATATAGGGCCCTAGGGGCTCTAGTACCCTATATAGTAGGTACCGGGGGGGTTGGGGTAGGAGCTTCAGAGCGCCTGTGGCGCCTGCATGCGGGTGCATGTGCATTTGTCTGCCTGCTCTCGCACATACAGGTCAAGGAGCACAAAAATCGAACATGGGATCTTGCAAGTATAGTTGAAAAGTACTGTACAGCAACATCCGGCGATTCAGGTTCTATGCTCAAGCCCCTTCAGTTCATGAACCTCCCTTGTCGGGGTAGGCCAAGTGCCTCCAGCTGGTCTGTGTCGAGACGCCGGAAGAGCAGATCGGCATCCCCTGTTGCAGTTTCAATGCATGGGTCAACGTACTTACGTACTATGTACGTAGGCCTGACACTTCCTCGATGTAGTATATACAAGTAGGCACGTGTGTCGGCCCTATAGGGTAGCTATATATAGGAGCCATATGTATATATATATATATATACACACACATGGATATACACACCCATATATATATATATATATACACATATGTGTGTGTGTATCTGTATATGTATACATGCATATACATACACACAGATATCTATGTTGTATATGTACATATGTATTATATCCCGAATTATGTGGAGGTGTTCTTGTTTTGGCTTTTTCTCGCGCGCGAGAGAGCGCGCAAATTACGCGATAGCGGCGCAGAAGGGAGTGTTTCTGGGTGAAAGAATATAGGACAACTCTCACATGTATATATATATATATATGTGTGTGTGTGTGTGGCGAGCATATATTATATGAATATCAATTACTAAGTACATATGCATGTATCTGAGACTGATATGACATGATATGATATATCTTGAAGCTCGCATCGGTCTTGAACCTAATTAGGCCTAACTCCTGAATGACGAGGTCAGAGCAAACCTCAAACAAAGCCGGACGAGTTTGTAATCCTAGACCGAATATCCCCACAGCCTTAAATCTTGCAACGTCTAAATCGTGAAGACTTTTGCGTCACGGTCTGCGGCCGGCGCGTTTGAGACTGCATTGTGTCCACCGTAAAGCCGTACATTCCCTACATTAACTTCCGCTCCACACCCTTTGAACCCCAGAACCCCAAAGTCCCAAACCTCGTTTGGTGCACCCAAAGCCTGGATAGCGCAGGGACTTCATTCCGGCGCAGAATTGTTGGCGGCTGATCTGCCTCTCCTTTCAGGTTTTGGGTCTCTGTATAGGGTCCATTGCAGGGCTTACGGCAAGTTTAGGGTCTGAGGGTGAGGGCCCGGTTAGGGTCGAGTGTTAGGATTTCAAACGCTTCTAAATCCAATACCATGCTCGGCAGACTCAGAAAGGATGCGGAATCTGGATCCAGAGACAACAAACCTCGTCTGATCAATCAAGGCGCATAGTGGCGATCGAAGTACTGCACCCAGGCGCGAAGAATGTTTCCCTCCTGAGTCTGAGTCGGTATATGTGTAACAAGGAGTTATGCCCGAAACCTTGTAGCTTGAGGAACAAAACCAAGGACGCATCTGAAGTTCTGAGGTGAGAGTACTGCAGTCTGGGCTCTATAGTTCAGAAATGGTATCCTTCGTTGTAATTGTAGTTATAAGTACTGGTATGGCAATAGTCGAGGGTATGGGGTGCTGGTATGGTGTCGGCGTCGGGTTCAGAGTTCGTGGTAGGGTGCATCGCACATGCAGAGAGTAGCCAAGTCAGTATGAAGGACAGACAAGAAGCAAGTGGAAGCGGTTGGCGATTACTCTAAAATTCACAAAAATGCAACTTCGAACCCGTCGGGTAGACGAATGACTGAAGCTTTTCGTGCTGCAAAGGATTATTCCGGCTTAGCCGAAGCAGGCCCTTCTCGTGATAAACTATAGACCCTTTCATCACCAAGGCCATGAATATGCCAGGAACCGACGCAACCCTCAACCCTCAACCCTAAACTGTAGACCCTGAGCCTTCAAGCCTCAAGTGCAGCTCCCAGCCGCCGACTCCAGCAAGCTCTTCAGCGTCTCTAAGGCTTTGTCCCGCTCCTGGGCAGCTCGGGATCTGAGAGTGACGGGTCTTGATTGTTAATACAGGGCTGAGGATCCGATATAACGGCCTAAATAATGCCCATACTTTTTTGGGGGGTTCCTTAGATCTTATGAACTTATGAGTATACAGGATAATGGGCCCCAAAAACCCCAAAGCCCTATTCTAATACGAGGCGAGGACCGGCGAGGGGGGGGGGGGGGGGGG